TGCCCAGTCACCACTACAATCAGTTCCAGAACATTTTACTCCCTCTTGTATTCAGTATTAGCTCCTCATTTCCTCCGTCCTCCTGCATCCCTGCCCCTGGGTCCCCAATAAGCCACGAATCTAGTTACTGTCTCTATACCTTCTCCCATCCTGGAAGACATACCCCCACCCCAATCAAAGACCACCACCACCAACAAAAAAACCCTAGAGCAAAAACCAAAATCAGCAGAAAAGCAGGGCGTGTTAATAACTAGAACAAATTTAAAATGGGTCACAAGGGAGAGCAAATGATCAGGTGTCACATTTTAACCTAGTTACCTCTGCCATGGTAACATTTATGATGTTCTCTGTCGGAAAGCAAGGCTGTTCACATCCCTCAACTATGGTCAGAGGGAATTAATCAGTGGCTTAATCCATGTTGGGGCTCTGCAAATGGAGTTGGGGCTCCCACTGCCATCCATTGCTTTCTGCACATTGGGGGCTCACAATCTAAGCTCTGATACCATTCTTTTCATTGGTTTTGGATTTTATTATTTATCATCCTTGGATCACACGAGCTAGTGGGCTTCTTCCATGTGGACTTAGTTGATGCCGCAGGATGATGGCTGCTTGTCTACAGACAAGCCTTTGGTACCCCAGACACTATTCTTTCAATAGCCAGGCACCATTTGCTTTCTTCACCACACTTTGCCGTGGCACCTTTATCTTCAGTGATCTCTTCGTGAGGGTAAGCATCGAGCAGGGCCATGTCATAAGAACCAAGGGTTCCTAGATTGGGGCTAGAACCAAACGTGAGCTCCAAATCCATTCACACTGTTAGGTGCCATCGAGTCGGTTCCAGCCAATAGCAACCCTACGCACATCAGAGCAACACACTGCCTGGTTCTGAGCCATCTCGTCATTGTGCCCATGCCTGAGCCCACTGTTGCAGCCACGGTGTCCATCCATCTCTCTAAGGGCCTTCCCTCTTTATTGTTGCCCCTCCAATTTACCAACCACGATGTCCTTCTCCAGGGACTGGACTCTCCTGACAACATGTCCAAAGTATGAAAGACGCGTCTCACCTTTCTTGCCTCCAAGAAGCACGCTGGCCATACTGCTTCCAAAACAGACGAGTTTGTCTGTTTAGCAGTCCATGGTACTTTCAGTAGTCTTCTCCGGCACCGCAATTAAAATGCATAGGTTCTTCTTGGGTCTTCTTTATTCAATGTCCAACTTTCACATGCATATGATGTGATTGAAAATACCATGGGTTATTTAGGTCAGGCGCATCTTAGTCTTCAAAGTAACATCCTTGCTTTTAGATACTCCAAAGGTCTTGTGTAGCAGATTTACTTAATGTCACTCTTTTTTTGATCTCTTGACTGCTGCATCCAAGAGCATGGATTGTGGATCCAAGGAAGGCAAAACCCTTGGCAACATCACCCTTTGCTCCATTTATCATGATGCTCCCTATTCGGCCAGTTGTGAGGATTGTAGTCTCCTTTACATGGAGCTGTGATCCATTCTGAAGGCTGCAATCCTTGCGCCTCATCAGCAAGGGCTTCACATCTTCACTTTCAGCAAGCCAGGGGTGTCATCTGCCTATCTCAGGTGGTTAATAAGCCTTCCTCCAATCCTGATGCCACGCTCTTCTTTGTATAACCTAGCTTCTCTGATGATTTGCTCGCCATGCAGATCCAATAGATATGATGGTGAGAGGATACAACCGTCTCACACGTCCTGAGTTTAAACCACGCAGTAGCCCCTTGTTTTGCTTGTACAACTTCTCAAGAGATGAGCTACATCTAAATATGGCACAACTCTTTTTTTTTTTTTGGAGGGGTGTGTGTAGGGAACGTCTGTACAGTTGATGAGGCCGGAAGGGTGGCTTCCCCGTTTAAAGGGGCCCCGGTGGTGTAGTGCTTATGCAGTGGGCTGCCAGCTGCAAGGCCAGCTGTCACCAGGAGCGGGCATTGACTCGATGGCAGTGACTTGAGTCGGTGGTGTAATGGAATATGAGTCGGGCTACAGACTCAAAGGTCAGCAGTTTGAAACCACGGCCCTTCCTCAGAAGAAAGAAGAGGCTTTCCATTTCTATGGAGGTTTGCAGCCTCAGAAACCCACAGGGGTCCCCCTAACCTGCCCTCCTGGCTCACGATGAGTCCTGCGTCCGAGTCAACTGGATGGCGGTGAGTTTTGAGAGTGAGTGGTTTGTGACAGGGAGGATGGCCCCGGAGGAGGTGTGGGCTAGGGCAACCACAGTGTCCAGCCATTTTCCCTGCACACCACTCACGCAGCTCCAATCATATGAATCCTGGAGGGGGCAGGATTCCGTCCCTTCAGCATTCCTTTGTGCTCAGACATCCCAGGAAGAGGCCATGATTTGGAAAAGGCATTTACTGCTCAGTGGCTACAAGAGAAGGACTCCTCCCTCCCAGGCTCTTCTCTACAGAGCAGAGGGGATGGGCTGGCTCCAGCACCTCCTGCCTGGGCAGCCACTGGGCTCCGGGCTCCTCTGGGTGCACTTTATGATCCAATACATTGGCAAGTTTTGGACAAAGTGTAATTGGTCTTGTTGGCTGGGGGGTGGGGGGTGTGCAGTCACGAGCAGAGGCTGAGCTGCTTGGGCCATGCCTGCCTTGGGGTCTCTGGCACCTAGAAGTGGGTCCCACTGAGATAATGGGCTTCAAAGGTTGTGAGCCTGGGTGGCTGGTTTTGATGAATTCTGGGGCTGGGGTATGTGTGTGTGTGTGTGTGTGTGTGTGTGTGTGTGTGTGTGTTTGGGGGGAGAGGGGGATTTGCCAGTATTTGAGTTTTGGACAATTCTGCTCAGAAATAAAGTGTTCTGTTCAGATGAAAAGGGAGGTCAGAGCTCCTAATGTGCTGAGCAGAAGGTTCTAATCTAGAGGAAGGAAGAGGCAGTCGTTCTTTCTGTTTGAAGTCCTGGGATGATGATCGTTTATGGTTTGCTGCCCTCTTGTGGCCCCGCGTGAAAAGAAGCCCCCTTGTTCCCCTTTCAGAAAGGACCTTTTCTCATCATCCCTTCTTCCAAAGGGGGTCCTGATCCAGCTTAGGGGGCTAGTGGAGCTGCTTTTATGTGTGTTTCTTTGTTTCCAGCACTGAGGTCTCGGAGCAGGAACACACCCCTGGCTTTGCACAAAGGGGCTGAAGCCTCAGCCTGGCGGCCAAAGAGGTCAAGTGGCCACAGCTGAGCCCGCAGTGTCTTTGAGAACTGGACGTCCTGCCTCTGTGAATGGCACACTCAAAACAAAACAACCCTCTCTCACTGTCATCGAGCTGATTCGGACGCACAGGGACCCTAGAGGGCAGAGTAGACGCTGCCCTCCGTGACTTTCCAAGCCGGCCAGTCGTTACGGGAGTGGAAAGCCTGGTCTTTCTCCCGAGGAGCAGCCGGTGGGAATCGTGAGCTTAGCAGCCCAACTATGCTACCAGGGCAAACCCAAAGCAAGCGCTCGGCCATCGAGGCGTTTCTGACTCACAGTGGGTTTCTGAGAATGCAGACAGCTTTGCCGTTCTCCTGCAGAGACAGCGTGGTTAGCCGCACAACGTGTAACCGCTGCACCACCCCCGGGGCTCCTGCCCTACCAGCGCGCAGCTATGCAATCAACCAACTGGCCTTGCAAGTGTGCCCTCCCGCTGTCCCGTCTCCGGTTCTCCTCCATGGTTTGCATCTTCACTTCCTTTGACATGACTGTCCGGACATGACTCTGTCCCACGTCTCCTTTAGTGGGGGCAGTTAGGATATACCGAAGTTTTGTCTTTTTTCTCTCTCCTGTTTGACGCTGAAAAAGAATTTAAATTGTGCACTCGGGGAAGGTTTACAGAGCAGATTGTCAGCTTTACGTCCAACATTTCCGCTTCAGCTCCTCCACTGCAGCCTCTCAATCTACCATCACTTCTCCCACACCCGCCCAGTGTTTTGTTTCCATCTCTCCCTCTTTCCTACCCCTCCGAATGTTGTCCTTCAGTAAATCTTAAGTGGGTGGATTAGTCTAACACGGGGGTGGGCGAGTTCAGTTCCAGTCCTGACGGGTGGCTAAGGACCATAGGCTCGGGGGCAGAGGTGAGGGGCCACCACTTTTTATTCCATGACCAGTAAGCTTGGTCTCCTTTATGATGTCGAGTCCACTTCCACATTTTCCTCTCCCACTCTGTCCAGGACTTCCTAATGGGGTCCTCTTCAGAGCAGCTGGGAGTGGTAGCAGGGGACCATCTAGTTCTTCTGGTCTCGGGGTTGTTCTTGGAGGCTGCTCTTTGCGTGGCCCATTAGTTCACTGGACTCGATGCTTCAGGGGCCCTGGGGTTTTCCTTCCTATTCTTTTCCTCTAGGTGGGGAGAGACCGGTAGCTGCACCTTAGATGGCTGTTCACGGCTTTCAAGACCCCAGTCACTGCTCACCAAAGCAGGATGTCTAACATTATTTTTGTGAACTATGGGATACCAATTAACCTTGTGCACGGAGATAAGGACATAAACAAGCATGTAGTCCCTCTCCTGGGTCTGGCCACAGTTTCTATAGTTGCCAGGTGCACGTGGTGACCCGGCTTCTCCCCACCCCAGCTCAGAACAAGAGCCCGGTTCAGAAACACGCTTCCCTCTGCTCTGCTGGGCAGGAGGTGTGCACCTTTGTCAGAAAAGGCCTCTGACAGTAACTGGATTCGTGTTTTTTTTGGGGGTGGTGGTGGCAGGGGACGTTGTGGGGGAGGGGGGGGGCGCAATATGAGGAGCTAATAACACTGAGAACAAGAAGGAAGAAAATGCTCTAAATTTGGCTGCAGTGACCAGTATACAATTCTCCTGAACGTGACTGAACGATTGAGTTGTGTGACACATATTTGAATTTTGTGCCATTAAACCTTTTTTTTTTTTGGGGGGGGGGGGGTTGTTGTTTTTTAAAGGCCTCTTTCCCGAGGGAACCCATCTGCCCCGAGACCTGGGGGAGCTTGTGCACCTTCTAAGAAGGCCGTGGCCAACAGTGACTCCCGACCACACCGCTGTTCTTTCAAAAGACATTTTATTCGTGGCGATGGCTTTCCGGAGGGAGGTGAGGCCTGGCAGACCAGAACGCCGAGCAGAGGGGACCAGGACGGAGCAGCGCGGGCTCCACCAAGGAAACGGGCTGCGCAGAGGGCGGGTTGACCTTGGGGCCCGGCCACGAGCGAGCGCGTTACGCCGACGACGTAGGACTTACGACGTGACGTGGGACGTGGGACGTGGACGTGACGGCCGCTCCCGCCTCTCGGCAGCTGGAGGCTGGAGAGGTGCCTCTCTCGGTGGGGTCCCGGAGGGAGGGTCGGCGCCGCCGGGACCCTCGGAGGCTGCCTCTGCTCCGCTGTGCTGGCTGGAGGGGGACAAGGACACGAGGGAGTCGGCTCATCGGGGGACCCCGGGACCCCAGCCTGCAGGTCTGCGAGGTCGTCCCCCTGCTCCCAGACAGGGGGGCTCCTGGCTTCCCAGAGGGTCTTTCTCTGACGTCCGGAAACGTGTCCCTCGTAGAAGGTTCGAGAAGCGCTAACCGATTCAACTCAAAAGTCTCCACACCAGCAAACTGGGCTTCGGCTCCGCCCGGGCTCTGCTTTCCCAAGGAGGGCCGTCTCCCTCCCTCGGCGGCCCACCCTCGCCCCACCCACGGCCCTGCCAGGCTAAGGCCCAGGGGCCTGCGCCCACGACCTCCCCTGGGTCGAACCACCTGGCTACCTTCACCGACAGTGACTCAGGGCGCCCCGGTCTCGTGGGGGGAGTCCAGAGCTCTGTCACTGTCACTGCCCCCAGTCCACAGGCAGCAGCGGCCCTGCCAACCCACCTGTTCCCCAAGCCCTTCCTCCTTTCCAACCCACCACCACCTGCCCTGCCCGTGGAGGCCGGCTAGAGGGAGGGCTCCCTCGTCCTCGCCTGGCAGTTCCCTCCTGGCTGTCGCCCAGGGTCCAGCCGGATCCCCTTTCCCAAGGCAACCCAAGGCTGCAGCTTCCCCCCTATTTCCACTACATCTCCGTGCAGGGCGCAACGGGGTTACCTCCAAGCTAGCATCCAGGGCACACTTGCACGGCTCAGAGCAGGTCCACGGTATTGACTTCGCCCAGCTCAATCCCCGAGTGCAGCTTGCCGGCCTTAGCAGCCGCCCAGGGCATACTGGTGGAAGTCCACTTCACCACCCAGCCTCCGGCCTTGTCCACCAGGATGATACCGCCCAAGCCCCTCAGCCTCGACTTCATGTAGCCCAAGGACAGCGTGGCAGCCTCTTCTAACGACTTCCCTGAAAACAAACGAAAGGTGGTGAACTAGCCCTGGGTACCCCGGAAGGATCAGGAGCCAGAAACATTCTTTTTCTCAGTGCCATCTGATTGGACTCCTGGCAGCCCTGCAGGACAGGGTAGAACTGCCCCTGTAAATTTCTGAGACTGGAACTCTTTAGGGGACTCGGAAGTCCTATCTTTCTCCCTTGGAGCAGCTGGTGGTTTCAAACTGCTGACCTTGCAGTTTGCAGCCCAATAAGAAACCAAAGCCAAGGAAACCAGGACTTCAGTCACACTTCTCCTGGATGGTTAACAGTTCCGGTGGGAGGCTGAGTCCGTTCAGAGGTGTCTTGGAAAAAAGGACTGGTGTTCGACTCCCCCCAAACCAGCCAGTGAAAACCTTGGGGAGTATTTCTACTCCGACCCGCATGGGACCCCAGGAGGTGGCGTCAACTCAGTGGCAGGTGTTTGTCCGTTTGGATGGCTTAAAACTACGAGAGAGGAGTCCCAGTGGGCCCGGTGGTTAGGAGCTCGGCTGCGAACCCCAAAGACCATCTGTCCCAACCCATCGGCTGCTCTTGGTTTCTGTGAAGATGAATCAAACGAATCAAACCCGCTGCCGTCCTGTCAACTCTGGCTCATTAAAGACTAACCCTACCAGACAGCAGAACTGACCTATAAGGTTTCTAAGGCTCCAGTCTGAATGGCAGCAGGCTGCCACATCTTTCTTCCGCCGAGTGGCTGGTGGGTTTGAATCGCTGACCCCAGGGTTCACAGCCACACTCTGAGCCACTGTGCCACCTGGGCTCCGTTCTGTAAAGATGATGCCCTTGGCAGCCCTGTGGGCAGTTATACTCTGCCCTAGAGGCTTGCTGTGAGTCAAAAGGGCCCGGATGACAACTGTTGGCGTTTCTTTGGGATTGCTTCCAAAGAAGCATATTCCCTAGATGAGGCCGGGATGACAGAATGGGTTATGTTAACTGCAAGCTCAATAGTTTGAACCCAGTAGCTGCTCCGAGAGACAAAGATGAGGCTGTCTGCTCCTGTAAAGATAAAGCCTCCGAAACCCAGGTGCGCAGCTCTACCCTGCCCTTGAGGGGCACTGTGATGACCGTGCCTTTCAGTCAGGGAGCAGCAGGTCAAGCAGACTGTTTCCCCAGACCCGCGCTCGCAGCCTCCCGAGGTGGGACAGACAAATAGGCCAATGAAGAAGGTGCTTCCTCATCTGTCCACCCCAGCACAACGTCGGACCCTGCCCTGTGCGTTCCACACCTTGTTCGAGGTGGAAGAGTGTCAGCCGGGCCAGATTCACCTTCAGGATGCTCTCCCCGTGCCCCGTAGTTGACACAGCGCCTATGTTGTTGTCAGCATAGCCTCCGGATCCTGCTCGAGAAAGAAGGGGTGAATTAGTCCGCACGGGTCAGCACTGAGACGGGCCGGCATACGTGACAAGCCTCAAGCTCTGCAAACATCAAGTTCCAAGCTCGGGCTACGGTATGGACCCGCGTCAGATCAGCGGCCGGCCATGGCCCTGTGGGTACTGCATGCCCTGAAATCCAGTCAGCCGAGGAAGGGGCCTCAGGCGGTGGTGGAGGGGGACTTGACCTCCCATGAATGGCTTCTCCTCTGCTCCAATGCCCATCTTCCCCTCTTGCTCAGGGTAAGCCACTTCGGAAGGAAATCCATTGTGTTTGTGGGTTGCTAGGAAGATGGCCACATTCCCATCGTTCTGGGACATGGGGTGCTCACCTGACACCCCTATGTTCTGCCCCCAGGCCTTTCCCTTTGTTGGGGGTGGGGGTGGCTTTTGGACATGAGGGAACCACACCTCCCGCATCTAAGTTGGGGGTCTGTGTCTGGGGCTAAAGCTGCTGGGTAGGTTTTTCTTTCTTCTTTTCGTCCAGGATGAAGCACCCTCTTGTCCTCCATCCCTCTAGCTGCGGACACAGGGCTACCATGTAAGGAGGGGCCTTTGCCCTCCCCTAGTCGATAGACGGGCCTAGTGGTTGACGTGGGCTGGACCTGGGGAACAGACGCATGCACGGGAGCCCTGGGCCCAGTGTCCAAACCCAAGGCTCCCCACAAGCTGAGAAGCCCCTGTGTCTGGCTCTGGCTTTGCTGGGAGCTGAGACCGGGTGGTGAATGGGAAGACCGCAGGGGGCAGTGCGGCTCCTCGTTCCTGTTGGCAGCGCCGTGGGAACAGGCTACTGTGGGTTTGAAAGCAGACCCAGAACGAGTCTTCTCTCCAGTCACCGCAGGGCTTGAACAGCTAAGGGCTGTGGAGGTGCCTGCCCACACACCTGCTGTGCAGAAGAGGCAACTGAACCGGCTCGAGACAGCTGCCCTCAGGAAGGCCTGCTTACAAGGCCGGAGACTAAGTTTTTCAGGAGTGTCCCGGGTAGACAACATGCAGGGTTCATGGCCTGTTGCTGGAGTCTCTATGTGTGACCTCTCTGACCCCATCAAGAGAGGATTGTGGCCCTGGCCCCTGGTTTCCTTCTGGACTTCGCCTCAAGAGCCTTCACCCTTTGCTGATATTTGCCTTGGTGGAGTAGTGTTTACCTATGCGTTGGGCTGCTAACCCCAAGGCCAGCAGTTTGAAACCACCACTCGTTCTTTGAGAGGAAGATGAGGCTCTCTACTCCCGCAATGAGTTACAGTCGTGGAAGCCCACAGGGGCACTTCTAGCCTGTCCTCTAGCCTTGCTATGAGTTGGAATCGACACATGCATTTGCCAAGATGACCACGTGGTGTCAGAGGGGAATACTGCCACCTGCTGTCCATGTAGTCGGGTTCATCTGCAGCCACGCAGAGCCAGCTGGGGCTGGGCTGCCAGGGCAGAGTCAGGGCAGGCACACGGGGCACTCAGAACCAAGACCAGGCCTTCTGAGGCTCTCAGTGGTGCCTTCCCTCCCTCCAGACTTAACCATCACAGGTCCGACGTGGACGTGAGTGTCTAGGATCTGACTCAGGATGGCCCGATAGCCTCATTTGGACGCAGCTGGCTGTCAGTGGTGGTGGGGGTGGGGTGGAGAGGTGGGCATGTGTCAACTTGTGCTGTCTCTGGAGAGAGTGAAATATCTCAACTCTGAAACGAAGCATCAAGCATCTTAAGTTGGTGACACAATCAAAGGCCATCAAGGGTCTGCCTCTAGCCCCGCCCCTAACACTTCCCTATCCCTGGGGCTCAGAGGGCATTTCTGCTTGTATGCCACTTGGGGTGTCTACCCCAGGCCACTCCAAACTTCTAACAGTACCCTTATATTCTCAGCCTTCTAGGTGGTTCACTCAAACCCACGTCTGCACACGAGTTTTCGTGGGCGCAAGTCTCTTGGTTCCAAACCTGGGGTTACAGGGAAGCAGAAGGTGCTGTAGGGTAGCTTAAGGGGCAGCTTTAGGATCCCTTATCTTTTCCCCCAAAGAGAAGCCATTTGGCAAAAGCAGAGATGTTGGCTACAAATGGCCTCTTTCACGGTAGCACTGAAACCACTTCTTCCAGCCCAGTCGCCACTCCTGGGAATTCCGAGGCAGCCACCGGGAAGAGAAGGGAAATGGAATCAAGGAGAGGAACGGTTGAGAATGAGGAGAACTCGGTGACAAGGGATGCAAGGGACAAAGGGCCAGGCACCCCCATCCGTCCTACCTACACATGGTGAGTCCCCAACTCGGCCGACCATTTTATTAATGATGCCCCCAGTGGAGGTGGCGTAAGCTACGTTCCCTTTGCAGTCCAAGGCAACAGCACCTACGGTTCCCATATTTCTGTCGGAGATAAACACAAAGAGGGGACAGATTTAAAATGACACACTGCGCCACGTGTAACGGTGTAGCTGCGTACCCTCCTTTAAGTTCCCATGCTGTGAGTGGCAATAGGATTCATGCCGATTCCAACATCACTCACACACACACACACACACACACACACACACACACACGAGAAAGCCTCTTTTCAGTTTTATTCTACAGTTAAAACAGTTCCAGCTAGGTGACTAGCATTTCTTTGGGAATTCTCATTTCCCCACTCAAAGCAGTGGGACTTGGTGAAGCCGAACATAGGCATGTTCCATGACCAAGCAGTTTTACTCCTGGACATACAGCTAACAGCAACGTGGGCACATAGTTCCCAGTAGATGTATGCATACATGTACACAGCAGCACTGTTGCGGTCAGAGGGAGGGATGCCAGCCCCCCCCCTCCCACTAATCATGGGTCGATAGGCACAGTTGTATGGTTGAGATATATAAATATTATATTAAAGTCATCGAGAGCATGAGAGATAAAAGAGATATTAAAATAATGGAGTCAGACACATTTCATGGCAGCATTGCTCACCTCAGCCCCGCTTGGTGGTCCCACATGGAG